TGCTGATCATCTAAAAATGTGCCGTGAACATATGGGCATTTAGCTTTTCGGCAAACATGTAACGAACGAGTGGACATGGAGACACAAAACTTTCGCAAATTTAGGTTTGAACTGAGAACTTAGAGAATGATAACATGTTCAACTGGTCGAGGTGCGGTGCTAATTAACGGTAGCAAATCCCAATTGAAAAACGGCATGCTCCGAAAATGATGTTGTCAAAATCTGTCGCCTTCTCTAATGAGCGGTCAACGTGAAGCGTTGTTATCATTTCGATGAAAGAAGCAGTTTGCAAAATGAAATCGTCTTGGTCGATAGCTGTGCTTGCGCTTCTCGCGTACATGAAATTTTTACTGCTGTGTATGTTTCGCGCGCCAAAAGATCATCTACCAAAAATTTGCGCATGCAATTGAAACTCGTTGCGTTTGTAACTCGTAAGCTCCAATAAATAAAGGAACGAATCTGCTGAAACTTGTTACATATATATCTAAGGACAATAACATCGATCGCTATTACATTCCAAAATGTCGATCGTCGGAATACCAAGCTAGCTAGCGTACGCAAAAAGCATGCCTGAAGGATTTGTCACCGCTAATTAATGTCAACATTTTTTCTTTTTTTTTTTTTTTTTGTCGGAAACAACTGAATGCCCTTTTCCATAATATCTGTGACTCTTCTCCCGTATATAGTAGATATGATTCTTGTAACTGCATGCAGAGTAGATAATATCGTAAAACTCACCTTCTCGCCGTATTCAGGGTCGATGGCCATCATCTCCCTGAGAGTTCTCAACACCTTCACGCATAACTTCTCTTCTTTCTCTTCGAGTAACTTTTCGGTGTGTTTGATTAATCTGAATGAAAGAATGAAGAATCATGAAAGATTACCATTGATTATTTACATTGAAATGTATCGAGATAATATTCACGGTGGAAGGTGATTTACCTTTTGATAAAGCCACCATTCTCGCATCGTTTTCGAGCGTCAGTCGCTGCTGGGAACAGTAATTCTGGACGATAGAGTATGTCCACTAACAAAGATAATTCTGACTGAACTAGTGGTTTCAATTGTTCTTCCAACAACGACACTATGTCTTGTAAACCTTCTATGATACTTCGATCCAAACGCATTAGCTAAATAAAAAATATATCATCCATTGTGGTAATTACACAGTTATTTTCTTTTCTATGATGCAGTTTTAATCCCTGCTCCTCTATTTTATGTACAATGCCCAGTATATTCGTAATTTTACGCTAAATACGCTTACAAACTAAATAAAGTTCGCTAATGTTATACTACGCTAAGGCACTATAGATGTAGTGAGCTAAATAAACTATCAGGCTTTTACGAGTGACTTTTACCTGATCTTTTTCACAAGTATCTTCCTCACAAAATAAGTCACTCTATATGTCCAAAGATCATATCAATTATATATCGATTGCAAACATTTGACAGTTTATTATTAAAGTTAGCAAAATATATCAAATAATTGCTCTGTTTTGTTCTCTGTTTTCATCGGAATTACCTGGCTCTGTGTACGTTCTATCTTTGGTTGTTTAGCAGCTTGAAGCCATTTGCTCGTCTGTCTACTAAGCATCGCTGCCTTATTGAACATAGAAGCAACTTGGCTTTCCAAATCTGTTGGAATGGCTATACCTCTTCCTTTAGCTGGCAATTTAAACAAATAAATAAATAATAGTTTTCTTGTTATACAATGAATGCAGGGGATATTGATGCTTGTAGTAATTTAAACGAGCTTACCTACGTCCGACAACGTTCGTATACAATTTTCGACATTAAATCTTTGACCAGCGTTTAACCACGGGCATTGCGAGACTTTAAAAGCCGCATGAAGCAATTGAACGAATATAGGTTGTCGTGTCTGTTTTAGAAAAAAGAAGTTTAACACCTTTTAGTAAATCGTCAAAGTTGAGTGAATATACATACGTATGAAAAAAAAAAAAATATATATATATATATATATATATATGTGATATGAGAGTTTTAAGTTAAAATTTTCGTCTAAATATCATCTTGAAGCGTCTTTTAATTATTAGAAATCCAAATATATAGAATTAATGCATTCATCATATATTCGTAATATAGTAAAATTATTTTTATTGTTTGAATTATTTCTCGTATATAACACACTCATTGCCAAGCTTCAGTAAAGAAACAGTTCCATAATATGTTAAACCAGAGATTCATGCTGCATGAAATGCAAAAGGACAGATGTAGAAGAGTACTCCAAATAAAATAAAACAAACTTGTGGTTAGTACTTGTGGGAGAATTTGTACAGCAAGCTTTAATATCGCCAAAGACAGTGAATGTGTTAGTACAATTGTCCAGAAACAAAGTTCTATTTACAACATCGAAATTTAGGAATTTTAGGAGAACCATCTTAACATTGAACCATGAAACACATCTATACTTTTCAATTTTCCTTGCGTGCTGTTACTCGTTTACAACATGTATTTACACATAAAAGTGTTTATAATGCATAATAAGACTTCTCATTAATTCGTTATTAACTCGTTATTATGTGAACGATATATGTACAACAAGAAATGATTTCCTTCGTTTTAGATATCAACCCTAATCACCAAATCACACTGTATCGGTATTAGTATTGCAAGTGTATTTACAGTTGCTCGTTAATTGACTGAGCATGTTTCTTTTAATTTTGATACTCACACAGCCAGTGACATTAGTATCAGTAATCCGGTCACTTTCCTTGATGCTCCAATAAAGTCTAGCCTCGTGGAGATGTTTCTATTAGTAAATCAACCCACCACCATATAGACCCAGCACCCAGACCCAGTAAACCAATGTTGATGAGTCAAAGAAGGCCAGGTGTTGCATGCCAAAAACACAGAACATGCCGCTGATGCAATCACCAGTTACCAAGCACACATCAAAAATTATATTACCGCCGTGGTTATTGACTTATATTACTCTGGCGTGCCAGGCGATAGACAAACAAGTATACCAAAAATTATAAAAAATAAAAAATAAATAAAGGAATATATACCAATGAAGCATTAAATAAAAGACAAATCAAGTTATTTATGGAAATAAATACTGCTCTAACATGTTTGTGATATGTACTTGGCTTTCATAAATAAACCTAAATTAATATGTTTGTCATGCAAAGCAAGAAATTATCGGATAAATTGTATGACAGAATGATTGCACAGGATTTTGCATATAATTACTTTGTAACATTAACTATGTATATTATACGCCTGTGTATTTCATTATACTTGTATTGTAAATATATATATATTCGAAAGTTCAATTTTCCTAGACTAGAGATACTTCTTACAGTTATATGCTTGTAATTTGCTATGATATTAAATCTTTAAGATTTAAATTACTGTATTGGTTCTAGCAATTCTGTACCGTTTTGGAAAAATTACCTCCATTATGATGAACTGGAGTTAAGTAATGAAACATAATAAACATTTAATTTAAAGTACCGAAGTACAGTGAAAATTAAATAAATCATACTTATATAAATACAATGGAAATATTGAAAAACAATAACGTTTTATCAATTTGTGTATAATATCTGGTTGTGCAAATAGTTGGATGAATTAAAATATTGACTGTACAATCTGAATACAAATATAAATTTTTGTTTATGTAAAAATAAAATAATAAAGAGTAACATAGTCTGAAAAAATGAAATAATAACTTTGTGCTATTATTAAAAGTACATAGAAATGTGTGATAAAAAGTAATTCCTATTGCTTGTTAATTCCTCATATCGTTAAATGATTGTGCTGAAGATATTAAGGTGCTATCAAATGAATATCAATATTAATTTAAAAATTCGTGTAACAATTTTCTAAATAACAAAGATACATAATTTCTTTGAATTTAACATTAAAGCCAATTAGATTATTTCGTTGGAATTATATTTAGAGATACAGTATCGAGAAATCAAAAAGTTCAATTTAAAATTATTAAAGTAGACGAATACAATACCTGTACTGTGGTACTTTGATCTGAAAATGGACTGCTAAAGAACGTTGTAATGATATTCATTAGGCAACCTGTCACATAATTTTCCAGCGCTATATCAGCGTGATCACGATCGTGTGTGGCTGTAGCTATAATTCCCATATCTACTATGAAAGACTTCTCGAACAACGACCACATATGATTCGACGTGTATATTTCTTTCATTTCGACTTCCGTGTCAATGTAACAATGATTCAGAAAATTGATGTATGCTTCTTTTACCTATGAGAAAATATTTAACATTTAAAATAAAATTTCATTAAAAATATTTTTATGAATAAACTTACTTCTGGTATACAGTCTGGATGCGACACCATAGCAACAATATCATCTAGTGGCAAAAGACTGTGACATTTAATTTCTGTATTAACGTTTTTGCCCATTGTACAACAAGCTAATAATTTAACTAATTCTACGTGGTACCTGAAATATATATATATA